AGCCCCGGGCAACTCCGGTTATAGTTGATAGTAAAGTTATAAAATAAATACATCATTTATTTTAACAAGATTCATCCAATTGGGCAACTTTTATAAAGTATCTTTAAAGACAGAAGAGTTATCCTTGATTTACCACAATGGCTCCGTAAAACACGAAAGATTCATAAAAATGTACTTTTTTTTTATCTCGTAAAATTTGTTAAATTGTTGTTGTATTCCAATAAAAAGATGGTTATATAACTTTTAAAATACTTTTTATAAAGAATTAACATAAGTTTACACGGGAAAATAAGAGATTCAAACAGAAATAATATACGCACCTGAACTGCACTTTTATCTACCAAAAATATAAGGTAATTTACCACTTGAGCGTCGGCCAAGATAAAATCCAGCTGTTCCGGTTTGAAGGGCTATTTAAACAATTATTCTTATCTTGTTTTTACGACCTTGTACATATTCATTCCAGCACATATACAGTAGAACAAATAACACAAGACAATTTAAAAAAATAGAAAATGTAAAACAGTTTAATTTAAAAAAAAAATTAAAATAGAAGAAATCAAACAATGTAATGTGTAAAAATAACATTATGCATAGTTCTCCCCCAAGGCGAGAATGAAATTCTTGAAAATATCATTTTTTTCTTGGCCGACGCTCAAGTGGTAAATTACCAAATATAATTAATAATATTAACTACGTACTTCACCAAAGGAAGGGACACTCCTAGAAAATTTGTATCGAAAATGGGCGTAGGCGCAATAGAATCCGAGTTATAAATTTTTTATGTGCAATTATTTTAATAATATTAAATATAATACAGGAGTCCTTTTCGCTCATAATTAAGATCTGACTCCGCCCATTCACATTACGAACAATGTTGACCTACATTCCCATTGAGTTTTTTGTTCTTTATATCAACTTTAAGTGAGGAAAATCGTATGTTATACTTTTTATTTTGTTGATCCACATTTTTTAAATGATTTTTTTAAAGTTTTGAAATTGTTTTAGTTTTTTAATCTAATCTTAATTTAGTCTAGAAATTTTGCTTTGGATTATTTGTATTTTATGTGTGCTAATATAAAATGAGATAAAAATATAATATTATTTTATAAGAAAGTTATAGGCATAAATAAAAAAAGCAAAGTAAGGGTCAAGAAATGTGGAGGAAAACTCCATAGTAAAAGAAGTGATTTTGATGTCCTTACTAAAAAATTTATAACTTTTGAACCACTTGAGCTAGAAAGTTGATCTTGGTGCTTTTGTAATCCACTCTATAGCCTATTAATAGCTGTAGTAGTTTTATATTTTAAAAAAAGGTTTTGAAATTTTCACCAAAGTGTCTACTACATTATATTATAGTAATAATACTATAATATTAATTACTATATACAATAATACCTCAAATATTGTGGGGTTACATTACGAGACCCTCGCAAAAAACAAAAACCACAAAGTAGGATTTATATTTATATATATTTTAGAGCTTAATAAACCCTTCACACAATCATTTTAAACCTTTAATAAGTTTTAATTAAAGTTATAATTATATAATTTTCAATTTTGTAGGCCATAAATGCTTATTTTTATTATTTTTATTTTTTATTATGTAAGCCAATGAAATAACGAGATATAGCATATACATTCTCAACTGAATATATATTTTTATTATTTCTGTTAAAGGGATGAAATCTTTACACCATTTGCTTGCAAATAAGAAACCTGTATTGTTTCTGAAAATTATTTCAATGAGCTTAAGCATTTTGTGCTGATTGGAGTGATTATTCTCCTAAAAAATTTCATATTTATTTAGGAATTTTTATATAGCGCTTACCTTAAAGCTCTAAGCGCTTTACAATTATTAAAAACATGTAAACTAACTAAAATAAAAATGAGACATTAGGATAGTAACTACTATACTATAGAAACAATTAAAATGGCTATAAAACGAGGACACTTTATAAATTAATGCTGTCATATATAAATGCCAGAAAATTAATTATAAATAGAAAAAGGTCAAATAAAATAAAAAGCGTTTACGCCATACACGGTAATTGGATGTTTGAAATAAAAGAAAAGAATGGGCAAAGTTGTTTGTAAGATAATCATGTGGTCAGCTTTATGATTATGGGATGGGACTTGATCCAACATTGTGATTGTATTTTTAAAATTCGGCATTTTTGTAAATTTTTTTCCCTTAGACAGGCAGCTCAGTAGTCAATAGTTAATAAAACACATTTGAGAGTGGGTAACTGGGCAGTAAAAACCCTCCCATAATTCCATACCTTTTTGATTGCCATTCCCTTTAGATTTGCGCTACACTTTTAAAGAGTGTTTGCCTTTTCAAGTAATTTAGGATTACTTACTTACTTACCGACTGAGGCATAGGCTGTTTACAAGAATTGACCATTCATTTTCGACCTGTGCTTTCTGTACAGTTGCTTCCAGGTGTATCCCATACTTTGTGTGTATGCCTCTAGCTTGCAACTTTATTCTTAGGCTCTTTTCTCTTTATTTTTCCCTGTGGATTCCATGTTAGGGATTGTCTGGGGATGTTATCTGGAGTTTGCAGAAAGTGTGCCCTATCCACCTCCATCTTCTCCTAAATTAAACTGATAATAATAATAATAATAAATAGATAAAAATAATTTCTCTTAAAGAATGTTTCCAGAAATGTATGGTATTGAATTTTAAAACAGATTTTTTCAGTTTAAAAAAAGGCAGGGAAAAAGACCAATGAAAATTTTCATGTCAACTGACTTGAAATAAGACCAAAGTTGAGGAATAGGGCCTTTAATGTCTCATTTTTATTTTAGTTAGTTTACATGTTTTTAATAATTGTAAAGCGCTTAGAGCTTTAAGGTAAGCTCTATATAAAAATGCCTAAATAAATAAATAAATAAATAAAAGTAGAATCAGTCAACCCAGATGCAGAGTGTACGTTTAGAGTAGCCCATAATTTTAGCACTATT